ATGGTTGGGCCACTTTATTGACATAAAATTGTAAATAACTTGATATTAGCAAACAATTTATTATGTCATTATTTTCTTGTACACTCCATTAATAAAGTCAACACAATTTGATATTCATTTTTACCAATTAATAAAAGAAAAGAAGCACCCCCATGTATGCCTATTGCCGATACATGATCTCATTACCATGGTCAAATCAAATGTTAATGATCATCATCTGAATTCTGATCACATGATGGAGCAGCCACGAGGATTCTCATCACTAAAGTAGTAATCGCACCTTCTGATGGGACATCCCCTACCATACCCATACCCATCATACCCATAGTAGTCATCATTCCCATATCCATTGTAACATGGGCCCCCACCATAACCTCCGTAGCACTCCCCGCAACATGTACGGACGGGGTAAGCCGCCGGATACTCGTTTACCGGCTCCGGCCAGCTGGGTCCCACCACCGGCTCCGGCTGAGGAAAGTTCGGTGCCGCCTGGGGTATTATTTTTGGACGCTCCGGTTTTGGACCTTCTTTGGGCTTCTCCACTTCCTTGGGCTTTTCTTGGGGATTCTCCACTTGTTTTGGTTTCTCGGGCTCTTTGGGCTTCTCGGGCATCACGACCTTGGGCTTCTCCAGTTCCTTGGGCTTTTCGATTATGACAACTTTGGGCTTCTCAGGCTCCTTCGGCTTTACTGGGTCTTTGGGCTTCTCGGGTAGCTTGGGCTTGGGTGGATCTTTGATCTCAATGCTTTTGATGACTTTGGCACCTTTGCAGCACAATTTGTCTCGAATTTTTTCAGGGTTGCAGCAAAATACGGTGATTGTGACCGTGTTTGCTTTCTCATCATATACCTGGTCTCTAATTTCTCGTGTCCACAAATATTCGAATAAAAGGAGAAAACATCAACTCAACCTTTTGCCAGACAAGAAAAAAATAACCCAACTTTTAAGAAAAAAATTAACGAGATCATTAAAATTTTAGAAAATAATTGTGGCTCTTACCTAATAACTTAAATCTCAGGGTAGTTTTTGCGCAATTATATTACACAAGACCCACCTTTAAATAAAACAGTCATATAATACAACAAGGCAAAAAAAAATAAATAAATAAATAAAAAATAAAAAAAATTGAAATAGTAATATAAAAGTAAAGTGAAAGAAAAATGCGTGACTAACACATGCATTGCAATTTATTATTTATGGTTTGCTGAATGATGCATTTGTGGTGCACAGTTGATAGAATCATCAATTACCGGCAACACGTTAGGGAAAAAAAAATGATCAAATAATTAACAAACCCATGTATAAAAATACACAATTGTACAACTCAAAATAAAGTAAAATAATATTAAAAGGATTAAAGATTTAGGAGACTCACGAGGAAATTTGCAGAGAATTTTCTTCACCTTTTTATAACAGCAGGGACACTGCAGATCAACCTTTAGTACCATCACAGTCTCCTGTTGCATTCATCCCAATGAAATTTTAAAAATAAAAAAAAAATAAAAAGAATATTTGATCAAAGAATACTAATGTTCTATATAATATACCCAATAATTTGGTGGATTTCATTGAAACTTATTTTCAAAATTAAAGGAAAAAAAAAATGATATTAAAATATAGAAGAAGATCACATACCTTATCAGCCATTGCTAGAAATTATAGATCTATCTGCTTACAAAGTTGAGAGAGACTTTTCAAGAGGGAAAAAGTAGAGATTTGGCAGCCTTGAGAAAGAGGAGAAGAAGAAATTGGGAACAAAATTAAATGAAAGAAAAAAAAAAAGGAACAATATTGTGAGGACACGTCACGAAATATATTTTGAAAATGTAATTTAAGTCATCATCAAAATTGGTGTTGAAATTAAGGTCGGGGCCTAAATTGCTGACTTATTACTCCTTGTTTGCATGTACTGGCTTTAATAGTCACTCCCGACCTTATACCAACATATTCTAATTACCATATTTTGATTCATTTACATAAACAAACAAACGCTGCCTTAAGCAGAAATTTGTTATGTTTGGTGATATGGGCCCAAGGTAGTACTTATATGGGGGCAACCATGAATTTGAGGTAACTTTGAAATATNCATGATTTGTGTCTATCATAAGACACATAAATAGTATTATTAGAATCTAATTATCAATAATTGTTTTGTTTTAAGAAATAAATATAATAACTAATCTGACAATAGTTTTGTTTGGAAATTAACACATCATTTGTACGTGTTATATTGCATTTTCTACCAAAATTTCGATCAAATTTTCAGCCAAAAGTATACTCAATTTAATTTGTTAGTTATAAATATTATACAACTATTATTTATTAAATATATGTAATTTGAAAAAAAATTCACCCTTAAGCTTGTTTGGGTATTTTCAATGGTCAATTCTTTGGTCACTCTTTATATTTATCCAAAGAGCCGCGCGACTCCGTCACTCCACAACTCTTTACTAATTTAATGAGCTAAAAGTCTACATTGGCCTTGCATTGCACTTTCTGTTATTTAGGCGGCAGACTTTTGCGTGAAATATAAGACAATGTCTAACAATGATGACGTGATAGGCTAATCCAATATGTAATTTGACACTTCAAGGCAATATACATATAGTAGTAAACCAAAAATATAACAATAAG